AGAGTTAGCTTTGATCATGTGGGCAGTAAGCTTTGATCTTGTGGCAGTAGCTTTGATCAGCGGCGGTAGCTTTGTTCTGAGGCGGTAGCTTTGATCATGGAGGCCAGTAGCTTTGATCACGTGTCGGCAAGTAGTAGTCTTTGAGCATGACGGCAGTAGATTTTGATCATGGGGCAGTAATCTTTGATCATGTGGCAGCTAGCTTTGATCATGAGGCATGTAGCTCCTTGATCATGTGGCAGTTAGCTTGATCAAGAGGGCAGTAGCTTTGATCATGAGACAGTAGCTTTGTTTCATGGGCAGTAGCGTTGATCATGTGGCAGTAGCTATGATATGGGGCAGTAGCCTTTGATTCAAGGGGCAGTTTAGCTGTGATCATGTGGCATTAGCTTTGATCATGTGCAGTTGCTTTGTCATGAGGCAGTAGCTTTGATCATGTGCAGTAGCTATTGATCACTGTGCAGTAGCTTGATCATGAGCAGTAGCTTTGATCTGAGGCAGTAGCTTTGATCAATGGGGCAGTAGCTTTGATCATCGGGGCAGTTGCTTTTGATCATGAGGCAGTTGTTTGAATCATGAGGCAGTTGCTTTTGATATGAGGCAGTCGCTTTGATCATGGGGCAGTTGCTTTGATCATGATGCAGTTAGCTTTGGGATCACTTGGCAGTTAGCTTTGATCATGGGGCAGTTGTTTGATCATGAGGCACAGTAGCTTTGATCATGTGGGCACGTTAATAGCTTTTGACATGAGGCTGTAGCTTCCTTGATCATGTGGCAGTAGCTACTGATCATGGTGGCTGGGGTTCAGGGTTTTTTTTTTTAAGGGGTGGGGTTTTGAAAATCATGGGGCGGTAGCTTTGATCTTGGGGGCAGTAGCTTTGATCATGGGGCAGTTGTTTGATCATGTGGCAGTAGCTTTGATCATGTGGCAGTAGTTGCTTTGATCATTGAGGCAGAAGCTTTGATCATGGGGCGGTAGCTTTGATCATGATGGCAGTAGCTTTGAATCATGGGGCCAGTTAGCTTTGATCATGATGGCAGTAGCTTTGTCATGGGGGGCCAGTAGTATCATGTGGGAGTTCGATACGTGGTTTTAGGTAGTAGAAATACTACGTAGGTGTTATAGTAATAATACTGAATGTTGACAGAGCCCGCAGCCCGTACACTATCTCATGCTCTCCTCGTAAACACTGACTAGACGTTTTGGCCAGTACCCCGTTAATGGGTGTTTTGAAAATAGTTGTCATCGCACATATGAAAGACCGTGACTCCAAGACGGTTGGTCGTTCGTGAGTTCAAGGACAGGTTTATTGTAACTGGTTAGGTACTACTGAGATGGTTAACTTGTTCTACTACTGAGAAATGGTGCAGCGGTGGGATTGAAAATCTTGGATAGTCAAGGTCCATCTAGCTAACCATTCCAGTAGGTTGTTTGTTCTGGAATAAGGGTATCAGTGGAGCATGATATCTGGTCAAGACATGAAAAGTGTACTGATAAAAATAATGTCTTGGAAGTGCTTTAAAGACATTACTATTGCTAAAGATTCTTGCTCCTGTTACTGTATAATTACGTTCAGCCTTTTGTAAGGACGCGGCTTAGCCATGAATGCAACTGCGTTGTACTTGGCCATCGGTTCTTCTGTGCAAGTACGGCACCTATGCCAAATTCGAACTAGCATCAGTTTCAGATAGAAAGGCTTAGAAAAATCTGGAAATTTCAAATTGGAAGCAGAAGTTAGCTGTTCTATTAGAGTTTGGAATGCTCTTTCTTGACGGAAGGTCCAACAGAAGGAGCTTCTTTTCTTAAGCAAACTCAGTTAGAGGAGAAGATATGGAAGAAAAATTGCAATGAAGATCTATAAAAAACCTGCTAGCCCACGCAAAGGATCTTACGGCATCAGCAGTTTTGGAGTTGGAAAATTTTAGTACTGCAGTTACTTTACTTTGGTCATTCGTTACCCTCTAGGAGTAGTGACTAGTGACAAGAACTTAATTTCTGATCTGAAGAATTGACATTTTGACAGTTTGATCTTTTAAATTGTGCTTCTTTCAAGCTTACCAAGTACTCATCAAGTCTGTTCAAGTGTGTATCCACGTCTTTAGACATGACGATTTACGTCATCTAAGTACACATTAGTGCATTACCTATGGACCTCTAAAGATATTAGTCATGAGCCTTGAGAACGTTGATAGGGGAGTCGTTAATCCACAATGCCATACGGATGGTAGTGATAATGACTGTAGGAGTGGAGAATGCAGTTAGTTCTTGGCTGTCTCGTGAAGAGGGAGACTTGCAAAACCCTGGTAACAAATCTAGGGTTGAAAAGACTTTGTTATCTCCAATATTACGTAAAAGATCACCAGTACAGGGGTGGAAAGCGATCTGTGAATGGTTTTTGCGTTTAAACTTCCTATAAGCTCCAATTAATGGACGCAAGTACCATCCTTCGTAGGTACTAGTATCAAGGGGCTGCATTCCAAGGTGAATTGTAGGTGCAATAACTCCATCTATCAAGCCATTTGATTGGATCAATTTTCTGGGACAAGCAACTTGTGAATGAGCCTTCTGTACGCAGGTATGTAGATGGGTCTAGTACCAGGTTCAAGTGGAATACGAGGGACAATAAGTTCTTTAAACCCCCATCTTTCACCTGGTAAGCAATGGTTTTTACGACGTTTGTTCAGCAAGTCAACAAACCTTTACTTATTGGGAAGTCAGGGGAGCTAAACTTTCTCCCAACTGGGGGAAAAAGATTTTATCCCTGAGGTGGGGTTGGGTTCCCCCCAAGAGATGGTAACTGGTTACTATACTGAGATAGCTTTGTCATGGGCAGTAGCTTTGATCATGGGCAGTAGCTTTGATCATGACAGTAGCTTTGATCATGTGGGAGTAGCTTTTATCTGTGGTATAGCTTTGATCATAAGGGAGTAGCTTTGATCATGGGGCAGTAGCTTTTAATTGGCAGTAGGTTTTTTATCTGGGGCAGTAGCTTTGATCAGGGGCGTACTTTGATCATGTGGCAGTAGCTTTGATCATGTGGCAGTAGCTTTGATCATGTGGCAGTAGCTTTGATCATGAGGCAGTAGCTTTGATCATGTGGCAGTAGCTTTGATCATGGGCAGTAGCTTTGATCATGATGGCAGTAGCTTTGATCATGAGGCAGTAGCTTTGATCATGAGGCAGTAGCTTTGATCATGAGGCAGTAGCTTTGATCATGAGGCAGTAGCTTTGATCATGAGGCAGTAGCTTTGATCATGGGGCAGTAGCTTTGATCATGGGGCAGTAGCTTTGATGATGAGGCAGTAGCTTTGATGATGAGGCAGTAGCTTTGATCATGTGGCAGTAGCTTTGATCATGAGGCAGTAGCTTTGATCATGGGGCAGTAGCTTTGATCATGGGGCAGTAGCTATGATCATGTGGCAGTAGCTTTGATCATGGGGCAGTAGCTTTGATCATGGGGCAGTAGCTTTGATCATGGAGCAGTAGCTTTGATCATGGGACAGTAGCTTTGATCATGTGGCAGTAGCTTTGATCATGAGGCAGTAGCTTTGATCATGAGGCAGTAGCTTTGATCATGGGGCAGTAGCTTTGATCATGAGGCAGTAGCTTTGATCATGTGGCAGTAGCTTTGATCATGAGGCAGTAGCTTTGATCATGAGGCAGTAGCTTTGATCATGATGCAGTAGCTTTGATCATGGGGCAGTAGCTTTGATCATGAGGCAGTAGCTTTGATCATGTGGCAGTAGCTTTGATCATGAGGCAGTAGCTTTGATCATGAGGCAGTAGCTTTGATCATGTGGCAGTAGCTTTGATCATGAGGCAGTAGCTTTGATCATGAGGCAGTAGCTTTGATCATGTGGCAGTAGCTTTGATCATGTGGCAGTAGCTTTGATCATGTGGCAGTAGCTTTGATCATGAGGCAGTAGCTTTGATCATGTGGCAGTAGCTTTGATCATGTGGCAGTAGCTTTGATCATGGGGCGGTAGCTTTGATCATGAGGCAGTAGCTTTGATCATGAGGCAGTAGCTTTGATCATGAGGCAGTAGCTTTGATCATGGGGCAGTAGCTTTGATCATGTGGCAGTAGCTTTAATCATGGGGCAGTAGCTTTAATCATGGGCAGTAGCTTTGATCATGGGGCAGTAGCTTTAATCATGGGGCAGTAGCTTTAATCATGGGGCAGTAGCTTTAATCATGGGGCAGTAGCTTTGATCATGGGGCAGTAGCTTTAATCATGGGGCAGTAGCTTTAATCATGGGGCAGTAGCTTTAATCATGGGGCAGTAGCTTTAATCATGGGGCAGTAACTTTGATCATGAGGCAGTAACTTTGATGATGGGGGAGTAACTTTGATCATGGGGCAGTGACTTTGATCATGAGGCAGTAACTTTGATCATGGGGCAGTGACTTTGATCATGAGGCAGTAACTTTGATCATGGGGCAGTAACTTTGATCATGGGGCAGTAACTTTGATCATGGGGCAGTAACTTTGATGATGGGGCAGTAACTTTGATCATGGGGCAGTGACTTTGATCATGGGGCAGTAACTCAGCTCATTCATTCTAACCATACCACGGGCGGGATTGAACCCGCGGTCAGAGTGTCTCAAAACTCCAGACCGTCGCGTTAGCCACTGGACCAGCTAGCCACAATAAGATTCGTCCAACTAGGTATATTTCTACACCATAGGAAGGTTAGCATAGGCACCACTGTGACCACAAATGCAAGTTTTAACAGACGACGGTCTGGAGTTTTGAGACTCTGACCGCGGGTTCAATCCCGCCCGTGGGATGGTTTGTTTGCAATCGTGTCATTACGATTTCGTGACTCATTCATTCTGTTAGTGTGATTTATTGTTCTGTTAAGGTTTCCTGACCTTTGATGTTTGCTTTGTCTCGTTTATTTTAAATTTAATAAATATTAACCCAGAATTGACAAGGTAGATTACTTTATGTATTTTAGTGCATTTTTTTTTTCAAATCTTTCTTCTTTATATTTCAGACTGAAGCATTGAAAAAGGTGCCTGTGACACCCTATTCTGGTAAGTGCCAAGCAGATCACTACCTGTGATGCTGTACTCTGGTAAGTGCCAGGCAGATCACTACCTGTGATGCTGTACTCTGGTAAGTGCCAGGCAGATCACTACCTATGATGCTGTACTCTGGTAAGTGCCAAGCAGATCACTACCTGTGATGCTGTACTCTGGTAAGTGCCAAGCAGATCACTACCTGTGATGCTGTACTCTGGTAAGTGCCAAGCAGATCACTACCTGTGATGCTGTACTCTGGTAAGTGCCAAGCAGTCCACTGTGATGCTGTACTCTGGTAAGTGCCAAGCAGATCACTACCTGTGATGCTGTACTCTGGTAAGTGCCAGGCAGTCACTGTGATGCTGTACTCTGGTAAGTGCCAAGCAGATCACTACCTGTGATGCTGTACTCTGGTAAGTGCCAAGCAGATCACTACCTGTGATGCTGTACTCTGGTAAGTGCCAGGCAGTCACTGTGATGCTGTACTCTGGTAAGTGCCAAGCAGATCACTACCTGTGATGCTGTACTCTGGTAAGTGCCAAGCAGATCACTTCCTATGATGCTGTACTCTGGTAAGTGCCAGGCAGATCACTACCTATGATACTGTACTCTGGTAAGTGCCAGGCAGATCACTACCTATGATGCTGTACTCTGGTAAGTGCCAGGCAGATCACTTCCTATGATGCTGTACTCTGGTAAGTGCCAGGCAGATCACTTCCTATGATGCTGTACTCTGGTAAGTGCCAGGCAGATCACTACCTATGATGCTGTACTCTGGTAAGTGCCAAGCAGATCACTACCTATGATGCTGTACTCTGGTAAGTGCCAAGCAGATCACTACCTATGATGCTGTACTCTGGTAAGTGCCAGGCAGATCACTTCCTATGATGCTGTACTCTGGTAAGTGCCAGGCAGATCACTACCTATGATGCTGTACTCTGGTAAGTGCCAGGCAGATCACTTCCTATGATGCTGTACTCTGTTAAGTGCCAGGCAGATCACTACCTATGATACTGTACTCTTGTAAGTGCCAGGCAGATCACTACCTATGATGCTGTACTCTGGTAAGTGCCAGGCAGATCACTACCTATGATGCTGTACTCTGGTAAGTGCCAGGCAGATCACTACCTATGATGCTGTACTCTGGTAAGTGCCAGGCAGATCACTACCTATGATGCTGTACTCTGGTAAGTGCCAAGCAGATCACTACCTATGATGATGTACTCTGGTAAGTGCCAAGCAGATCACTACCTATGATGCTGTACTCTGGTAAGTGCCAGGCAGATCACTACCTATGATGCTGTACTCTGGTAAGTGCCAGGCAGATCACTACCTATGATGCTGTACTCTGGTAAGTGCCAAGCAGATCACTACCTATGATGATGTACTCTGGTAAGTGTCAAGCAGATCACTACCTGTGATGCTGTACTCTGGTAAGTGCCAGGCAGATCGCTTCCTATGATGCTGTACTCTGGTAAGTGCCAGGCAGATCACTACCTATGATGCTGTACTCTGGTAAGTGCCAGGCAGATCAGTGCCCATGACGTCCCTACTCTGGTGGTAAGTGCTAGGCGGATCAGTGTCCATGATGTACACTGGCAAGTGCCAGGCAGATCAATTCACGGAAGATCAAGACGAGACCTCAGATCATTACCCTGTGTATTTCTAGTTTGAGTATTCAGGGACCAGTAAGTTGTCTGGCCATTTTCTAGATATCACCACTCAGGATAGCGCTGGATAATCCAGCTCTTAGCAAACTACCCAGCTTCCCACATGATGGAAGTGAGAAGTATATATAATGAACATTGAACCAAACATGAACGCTATAACCATACAAACATTATGATTTTTTTTTTTAGTGATAGCGGAATAGAATGGTAAGAATGTGTCACCGCCTAGGAGCTCTGCTGGAATGGAAACAAAGCCAGTGACCGGCTCATCAGAGTCACACATCAAGTCGAATCTAAAAAGCCCATAAACCGTTTATCATTTATTTGCCAGCGGACAATGTTTAAAGTATGAGATGTTGGCAGCTTTTGTTAGTACTCGGGTAAACGACTCCACTAACAACGAAATACCTTGATGCTACCGGAAGAACAGGCAGCAAGAGATGATTAGTTTTTGTTAGTCGGTTGTATGCATTGACCTACATAGTCAGAATTTTGGCAGTTAAAATTGAAAAAATCTAGTTTTTATACTCGTATATAAACTTCACCAGATGTAACTTCCCTGCAGTTGACACACTACAAACCCAGACCAAAATATATTGCTTCGTGACTTTGAAGCGCCTAATAAGTGTGGATAATATTATATTAGCAAGAGTGAATTTGGAGAGTCTCTCTCGCAGTCAGATTATTAATCTTCTACTATAAATTTGCCTTGAACTATCAGAACGTACTAGACTAGGAAATAACTTTGATTATATATATATTCATGCGTAATGAGGACCTTGTCTGTGGCGTAATGGTGTGGAAGACTGCAAACTCAGACCACATCCTAATGGAGGTTCAGACGTGTATACACTGGTCTGCAAGGCTAAAATGATCATCAGAGGGGGAACAACCAATGCAATTAAAAAGGAACATCAACTAGCACCAAAAAGTCATGACTTCACTGAAATATGCTGGGAAGACCATATAACTAACATGGATCTCAACAATTATTGTTATGATGAGCTTATTGAAGTATGCGCCAGACACATACCTTTATGATAGAAGAAGAGAAGATGCAAATTCAAGAGAATCTCTCTCTCTCTGTGAATATGAAGGATGACAGAGCTTCTGAACAATGACAGCCACACTAGTAAGAGAAATGGGCAAAGTCGAGCTCAAGCTGAATGTGTCATGTGCAGTCCAGGAGAGGCGGAGGGAACAATGTACCAGAAATAAAATTAGAAGATATCCCAAATACTTTTCTCATACGCAAAGTCCAGGACAAAAATATCATTAGGATCGGGCCTTGCCTTAAAATACACTGATGATGATAAAGAAATAAGTGAAACACTGAAGTCACAGTGCTACTCGGTGTTCGGTTCACTAACACAGTCATACTGCAACTTCAGTATTTTACTCATTTCTTTGCTGTCAACAGTGTAGATTTAATATATCCTTTAAGCAAGGGTCCGATACTGGATTATTTTTTTTTTTTGCCAAGGATTCTGCATACGAGAAGAAATATTTAGAATTTCTCTCAATTTCATATAAGGCTTTTTGTTACCTCTGCCTCTCTTGGGCCTTGTATGGTGCAGTCATCTTGAATTTAGTGTTTTCCATTTCCTTTGTTAGTGTTTCTTTTCGTTCTTTAGAAAGGCTACAGCTACTGAAAAATTCTGTCTTCATGTGTAGGAGTGCCTCTGTCTTGCTACCTTGCATCTTGTTCTGTTGTCTTGATGGTACGTGCCCGAGAATACTTCTACTGTCATTGAGCTCATTCTCTCCAGATGTTGCTTCATCTCATGTTAGTCATATTTTATTCCCAGCATATTTCACCTAAGTCATGATTTATTTGCTCCTAGTCGTGACTTTGCTGCTCAAGACTAGTTAGTGTGTATGGAAGTTTGTACCTCGATTAGCTTGTGATCTGAATTAGTTGTTTTAGAGACCATTATATTCGTCGTCATTGTTTATGAATATAATGTCAAGGATATTTTCTAGTCTGGTCTCCTCTGTTACTTGCTGGCTTAGGACGAATTTATTGCAATCTTAACAATCCTATTTCAATGCTATTACAATCTGTTACATTCCTTCATTTTAGATCTAAATTGAAATCAAGCAACAAGATATTTGGAGCTGGGTTTGAAAGATTTGGTGGCTTATAGACAAGTACAATAACTAATTTTTATTTTTAATTTTAAGTGCCAAATTTTCAACTACATCATTTGTTGTTAGTAACTCAGTGCAAATGAGCGACTCTCTGACGTACAAGTCAACCCCTCGCCTCTCCTTTTATGATTTTTCTGTGGCGTTTAAGCAGATTGTACCCAGAGATTCATATTTCATTCTTAAAATACTTTTTTTACATGTGTATCTGTGAAAGCTACAAAATGCATTTGATTCGGTGAGGAGTTCACTAGTAATAGTAGTTTGTTACTCATTTTAAGACCTTGTATATTTGTAAACATAAATGGTTTTATTTGTTGTGCTGGGGACTGTCTGTGGCTCTGAGCCACCTACACGCTTTGTTTCCAGTCCAGCATGACTCCACGGTGTTGTGCTGGGGACTGTCTGTGGCTCTGAGCCACCTACACGCTTTGTTTCCAGTCCAGCATGACTCCACGGTGTTGTGCTGGGGACTGTCTGTGGCTCTGAGCCACCTACACGCTTTGTTTCTAGTCCAGCATGGCTCCACGGTGTTGTGCTGGGGACTGTCTGTGGCTCTGAGCCACCTACACGCTTTGTTTCCAGTCCAGCATGGCTCCACGGTGTTGTGCTGGGGACTGTCTGTGGCTCTGAGCCACCTACACGCTTTGTTTCCAGTCCAGCATGACTCCACGGTGCTGCTACATTCTCTTCATTGCTAACCATTGTCTTTTTTTTTTTTTATTTCCTGGCACAAACAATCACGTCGTGTGTGTGTGTGTACTGTTGTAGTGGCCTTTCATCACCACTACATTTCGTTTCTTTACTTGGAGTGCAGACTGTTGTACTACACCTTTTTTCCTGTTCAGAACAATTTTTGAAGCACTTATAATCTAATACATACCTTATTTAGGAGAGGGCGCATTCTATAGATGAGACTTGGACATTGTATCAGGTTACCCAGGTTGAACGCACTGCGTCCTGTGACTGGTCAGTGCCATTTTTACACTGGTCAGTTCACAACTGAACTAGGACTGTGCACTTGTGTGACTGCAGAAAGTGTGTACAATATTACACTGGTGAGCAACACAGACTGTTCACACTGTGAGCACCACAACAGTTAACACTGTGTGACACACACAACAGTGTTACACTGTGTGGCACACAACAGTGTTTACACTGGTGAGCACACACAACAGTGTTACACTGTGTGAG